TAAATCTTCACCCAAATCCTAATTAAAAAAAAAAAAAAAAAAGGAAAAAAAAAGAACGCCACCCCACCCCCTACCTTTTTGTCTGTATGTGATAAAAAGGGAGAAGGCTGTAAGGCTGTTTGATGTTATAATGTCTAAGGAAGGAAGAATTTCAGGATGGAACCAATGGCAGCATTGTTGTTATTAGTTGCTGTGGAGTCAATTCTGACTCATGGTGACCCTGTGTTATAGAGTAGAACTGCTCCATAGGGTTTTCTTGGCTGAACTCTTTAACTGAAGCAAATTGACAGTCCTTTTCTTCCATGGTATCACCGGATGGGCTTGAACCACCAACTTTTAGGTTAGCAGTTGAGCACAAGTATGGAGAGGAGGGAAAACCATCAGAATTCACTGGTTGTAGCCTACCTACTGTTTTTTTTAAAAAAAAAAAAAACTTTTTTAGGGCACAATATATCTGTGATTTTGACACACCATATTCCTTGTTCTCCCCATAGCCATCAGTCTGGAAATCCTTGTTCATCCCACAGCTGCTGCTGACCCATCCTCTGACCATCTTCATTTCACCTGCCCTATCAGTCCAAGTACTCTCACCTTCATACTCACTCCACCACCCCACCCCCCACAAAAAATTAGCTGTTGGAGAAATCCAAGACATCTGACATACTAGCATGATTGAGATACAATCAGTTGTTTGCTGCTGGACAAACCAGAGACCACCCTATCTTATCTGTAGTTTCTTGTCCTGCTATAGCCCACATTTGTTTCTCTGCTTTCGATGGCAAGGAACAGGCACAGAGCAGAAATGTCTGTTTTCTTCCCAATGTGTAAAATACTGCCCAAGAGCCTCAGGCCAGAGGTCAACATTGCCATACCCCCATGAGACTGGCCTGCTGAGTCAATGCTAGCCCCAAGAGTCTATGTACAGGTCCATACAAGGTCATCCTCAGAGGCATTCCCAGCTAGGAGACTTTCCTCCATTTCTGTTTGTTCTTCCCTACTGCCCACAACCTCTTATTTCATTTCAAACACAGCTACTAGTCTGAACTAGTTCAAAGGGTCATCGGTTTCCCTGTTTCATATGAATTGTAATATGAAAATGATTGGAAACCACATTAAATATTATAAATATTTATACAAATAAATAGTAAAACATTCAATTAATACATTAAGATACTACTGTATTAATAAATATTGATAATTACTCCATTAGTTATTAATATATTGATAATTACTCTATTGATTAGTAATAATGATCATTCTAATAATTAGACTAACCAATTCTAAATATATTTATAAGTTTAGGTAAGGTAGTTATTGCATTTTACCTCACTAGACTGTTACAGAGCCATTCAATATTAGAAATACGAATATGTAGAATTTTTTAAATGCTCACAAAAATATTAAAAAAAACTACAATACTAAATTGCATATACATATATATGTTGTTGTTGTTATGTGCCGTCGAGTCGGACCCGACTCATAGCGACCCCTCCTTGGGTTTCCGAGGCAGTATCAACTACAGAAGTAGATTGCCCCATCTTCCTTCCGAGGAGTGGCCGGTGGGTTTGAACCACCAGCCTTCTGGTTAGCAGTCAAGTGCCTTAAGCACTACGCTACCAGAGCTCCCAACATATATATAAGGAATACTATAAGACATAAAAAGAACTAAAAATGGGAGAAGAATTTAGGTGAACTTTTTCCTTTAATAAATAACATATCAAAAATAGGTAACTAATGGTATTATATTTTAAACAGCAGAAGGGCATAATAGAAGTATACTAGAATCTGTTCAGATTTATGATTACTGGGGGCTAAGAAATCAGGTACTTAATTTCCTCACAAAATTCCTGACTGATGTGTCTACATGGTTGACCTTTGTGAATGACTGAGCAGCCACTCTCTCTTTTGCCACACCCCCACAAGACTGACCTGTTCAGGTCAATCCTAGGCCCGTGAGTCTATGCACAGTTCCACACCAGGTCATCATCAGAGGAATTCCCAGCCAAGAGCCTTCATTTCCCCTCATTCCTCTCCACTGCCCACGACCTCTAATTTCATTTCAAATAGTTACTCCAACACATTTTATTTCACTGGAAAAATCTATAGAAGAACCAAATAGGGTCCCCAAAAAGAACACATTTACCACATCTTAAATAAAATTTACCTTACCTCTTAATTGAGGCTCTATGTGATAGAAACCACAGGTGTCCAAGAGAATGCTCTGCTTGGTCCTTTGATAAGGCATTGCCAGCAGCTGTGATGTCTGCTTTCTGGCCCATGGACCATTAAAATATGTTAGTTATCGAAAACATGTAGATAAACATAACACATGGAACTACATGCTGTTTGCAGCTATTCACACACAGGCAGTAAAGTTTCAACTAGGAAGGAAAAATATATTATTTATCAAAAAAATAGCTCTAATATATAGAAAAAAGCTCAATCCTCTGGGGCCAAAAATCCGCCCTTGTTCACATTTACAAAGCAACTGAGTGTACCCAGCACTGACTAGGAGTAGTGAGTTAGGGGCATCCTTGATAAGGCCTTCCAGTCACCTACTAAATAAGCAGATGAAAACAATATGAGATTTTTCATTTGTGCAAGGACAAAGAGAAATCACTGGATGTGAAAGATGCAAGATGTAGTCCTAGATCAGTTAAGACTCTTCACAGATCTTAAGAGAGCAATTTGAAAGTATTGACCAATGTCCTATATCCTTGAGAATTAGTATTAACAAGTGATGTGAATGGTTGTTGCAATGGATGGGCTTTTTTCCTCCACTCTTTTCTCCTCAAAATCCAGGTGGATAAGGTATTGTGTGACAAAGTATTGAGGTGAAAGGGAAGGGTCATATGGAAAGAGGGCATTACACCAGCTTCTTGGCCTCAAAGAAACTCTTGAGGTGACGCATCTGCCAGATGCCAGTGAGAATGAGGATGACAGTCTGAGCAATAGACCACCACAGGACCCTCTGGTTGGTACTCTCGCTGGTCAGACGGAAGCGTTCTTCACGATACTGCATGGGGCAATGAATACAGGTTAAATGTGGAGGAGAAACAGTCCAGGGCTGTTGTAAGTTCCCTCCCTCTTATACTACTACTCAACTCCAAGGTCAAATGCCTTCTAGAATACTATTTGTGAATCCACTAAATATGCCACTGTTTTTCCACTGAAATTGTCCCAAAGAAGTGACAGTGCTATCATTCTACAAGCATGTTCCTACCATTTGAAATAAGATCCAAAGAAAACAGGTGAGGAAATGACTATTACTTGAATTTTCCTCTTTTTATTGAGCCCTTCATTTTCTTTAGAACTTAAATATTACTATCTGTACTAATACCCTACCTTCCATTCTCTAAAGAGTTGATCTCTGAAGTGGGGAAGGCACTAAAAAGAAACTTTCAGTAGGTCTAGTGGGTATAAAGGTCAACTGCCATCTCAAAGTACAAGGAGATAATGCCCTTACCCTCTGGTAATCTTGCTCCTTCTGGATCTGCTCCACCTGATCAAGCAATTGCCGGGCTCGGAGTTGCAGCTCTGTCAGTTTATCCTTGGCAGCAATCTCTGGGTAGTTGTTGGCATGTTCCCCAACCTGGATGTCTAGGTGCACACGCTAGAAGGAAGCACAGGATTGGAGCCCAAAAGTAATGTGGTGGTTATGTTTTTGTTTTTGTGTCAGCTTGGCTGGGCCTGGTTGAGTGGCTGGGCAGATGATGGTAGTTACTCCCCATGATGAGACAGGCAATCAACTCCATGGTGGGATCTACCACAAGCAGCTGAGTAGCTGCTTTGGGTATGTGGTCTGCTTCTTATACATAAGCAGCAGCCTTGGGAATGGTCTCTAGCCTATGGCACGCTTAGACCCTGCATGTAGCCATGTCATTACTCAGCAGCCTGCTATGCTCTTCCAACCTTGGGACTTACAATGAACTTAAGTTAATGGCCTGCCATGTGGTGTGGTAACATCGGGACTGTGCCTTTTTACTTGTCAACCTTGGGGCTTCTCAGCTTCAGCAGCCAGCAGCTGTCTGAGTGAAGAAATGCCTCCAGTGGGCTGGGAACAGGAGGCAGGGCTGGACCCCAAGGTTGAGGGGCTCTTACTCAGCCCCTAGAGCCTGGCACTTTGAACTTGGACTTAAAGCCTCCAAACTGTAAGAATAAACTCCTGTTTATTAAGGCCATCCCATTTGTGGTATATTCTTGTCAGAGCGGCACTAGGTAACCAGAACAAGTAATAAGGCAGGAACATTTGACATTATGGTGTCTGAATGGTAAGGCCTCCAACTGTCTGTTCAGGTTAAAAGGCAGTCTCTGTGTAACTGACTCTTGTTCTGGATGTGGGACAGAGGGCAATCATCTCTCTCCCCAATAGTGACTATGCCACAAAGTATCATATATGTTGACCGCAATAATTCAAAAGTTTGAAAACAAGTGAGATTCCAAGCTGCAGCCAAAGAGAAAATTCTCTTACCAGTTTGCCACCAGCAAAGAGAGCCATCTTGGTAGAGTTGGAGTGCAGACAGATCTGATGGTCACCAGGAGTATGCGAAGTGAAAGTGAAGCGGCCCTCTGAGCCATATTGCCGTGACAGTACCACCTGCAACACAGCAGTGACCACTCTACCCCCAACCAGCTGCCGTCATCTTTACTCTGACCTCTCAAAGTATCTATCTACCTTAAAGTGTGAGCTTGTCATGTCCCTGAGCCCTAAACTGGGTGCTTAAGCCAATTCTTGACATCACACAGGGCTTTATTCAAGAAAGGTTTAATGTGGCCTACAAGTCACCCGTGCGATCAGAATGGAGGCCTTACCTTCCCTTCAGGGTCCTTTACTTCCACATGCATCCCTAGGCCAGGGGTTGAGGGCAGGAAGACCTCTTTTTGCTTATCCCACATTTGTGTGCGGTAATTCCCTGTAGAGCAAACAGACCAATCACAACCCGCCAAGCCACCTCATCAGCCCCGCTGTCTACACTCAAGGTGTGGGCGGGCTCCCGCGGCTCCTCGAGGCATCAGGCAGCGGACACTGTTGGGGCCGGCCAACCCAGCTAGGTCTGGCTTTCTCAGAGCACCGTGAGGTGCGCTGGGTAAGGAGCAACAGGCCAAGTCTCAGGGGAGCATCGCGACTCGGCCGAAGCCGGCGAGGAGGAGAGAAAAAAGGGCCCTCTCCACCCTCACGCCCGCCTGACCGATGACCATGGTCTCATCAGGGATCTCTTCGATGAAGCAGCGCTTCTCGGTCTCTCCGATATGGAAGTAGAGCGCTCGCACCCCCGACGAGCACAACACCAGCAGCAGCAACAGTACCAACCGCGCCATCGCCGGCAGCCGCCTGGCCGTGACACCTGCAGTGTTTCGCTCCGCCCAGCGCGCGTGCGCGGGCCGCTCCGCCCAGCGCGCTTGCGCAGGCCGCTTAGCCATAACGCGCAAGTCCTGTCGGGAGTGTGGCTTTTGTGGGTGGCGACATCAATCTTGTGCTGCTGCTGCGGGCTTTCGGCCTGTCTTCGAATGTTTGTTAGGATGTGGCCTGTTCTCTGAACAGCGTACTGTGTAAAGCCCTAGCGCTGTAGCACTCCGAGGCAGACGATCCGTCTGGAAGCTAGTTTGAAGCCAACGGTCTGATGTGCGTCCTCCAAACAGTCTCTCGACCTTTCCAGTCTGAAACCCTCGCTCCTTGTAGCATCGCGTCTGTACCGCTATGACTGAGACTACATCCTTGATTTTCTGGGCCCACAGCTAACAATAAGTTAACAGATACTTACCAGGTGCTGACTGCCCCACGTGCCTTAGTTGATAATACATTAGTGAATAAAATCTAGAACCTCAGACGGCCTTACAACCGGGAGCTGAAGTGACCAGGAACAAATACAAGGTGATGAATTTTGAGACGTTTCCAGAAGACGACTTTTGCCAAGAGAATGCAACAGCTGAGGGGAAAGTGGACAGGATGGGAGGGAGAGGGAGGTCAGATGGTGCAGATAGGTGCACTTGAGGTGGTAAGGTATTCAAACTTTATTAAAAGTGCTTAAACACCAGGGGTGTGATTGCCATGATTTAACTTTTAAAAAAGAGCACCCTGAATTATCCATTTTGTAAGCTATAGACTATCATTGGGAGCTCCGGTAGCATAGTGCCTAAGGCACTTGACTGCTAACCAGGAGGTTGGCAGTTCAAACCCACCAGCCACTCCTCGGAAGGAAGATGGGGCAATCTACTTTCGTAGTGATACTGCCTTGGAAACCCAAGGAGGGGTCGCTATGAGTCGGGTCCAACTCCACAGCAAACAACAACAGAGTATCATTAGGTGAACGATTGATGGAGCATTTTTAGTGGAAGGGGTCGGGCTGACAACACCTGGACTCAGTAATTTTAAGCATCCAGAGAGGAACAAGCTACATGTGCCTGCCTGATGGGGTGATGCACCAGAAGTGTTGTAGAAGTACACAATATTACCTACAAAGTACTCTTGCTCCCACTTCCCCCAAAGAACCTTAAACCAGTCAAATCTGTTGGTTTAACGACAGGAAATACAGGAGTTGAAGGAGCATTGCAGATGAGGATGAAATCAACCAAATCCAGAATTCAGGAAATTCTGTACACCAAATAATCCAGTTTCTTCAACAAGTAAGTAGCATAGAAAAAAAGGGAAAGGAAAGATTGTTACAGATTAAAAGAGGCTTAAAAAACAGAGAAACCAAATGGAATTTATGGGCTTTGTTTGATTGTGATTCAAATCAACCACAAAAAAAGTAACATTTTTAAGACAATTGAGGGGGCCTCTAATAGGACATGGGTGTTACATGATATTAAGGAATTACTGACATTGTTGCAGGTAATTATGATATTGTGAAGTTTTTTTTTGTTTTGTTTTTTAAGTCCTCAGAGATACATATTGAAGAATTTACAGTTTTGTTTTGCTTTTAAATGACTCTGGCTGCACTGTGGTGAGTGATTGCAAGCAGATAAGAATAAGTAACAGTTTGGAAACTTGTCAGGAGATGGTTGTTACCCTCCTGATAAGAGATGGGAATTGATGGGAATGGGAGAAGTGATGGAAGAGACATCTGGAAACTAGAACTAAAAGTTTCAGTACCAAGTTTTCACTCACTATGCGCTTCAATCAAGCACAAAGCTTGAATCATTTTTGTTTTCATATCCTCAGCCCCTATCACTGACTCTTTTTTCTCTCTATGGTAATCTCAGTTTACTCAGTGTCCCCTTGGTGGAGATTTAGAAAATACAGTTGCCATAATTCATGCACTCACACTTGCCTTTGTGTCATAGCTGGGATGTGTGTGTGTCTTTTTCACTGGCCTATGGACAACTTGGGAGCTCTGGTAGCATAGTGCCTAAGGCACTTGACTGCTAACCAGAAGGCTGGCGGTTCAAACCCACCAGCCACTCCTCGGAAGGAAGGTTGGGCAATCCTACTTCCGTAGTGATACTGCCACAGAAACCCAAGGAGGGGTCGCTATGAGTCGGGGCTGACTCGACGGCACATAACAACAACAACAACATAGACAACTTAGGCCTGGGAATATAGTAGATAGTGTTCAGTGAAATAAAACCAGGTTTTGTGGCTCCAGTGGGCCTTTAGAGGTATATGTGGGGTCCCCGGTACTTGCTTGCCTGTGTCTTCCCTCCTACAAGCACACACATACGCACACACACAGAGAAGTTACAGTCATATCTGTCTTAGTGAGTTTATCCCAGAAAAGCTGGTATTGTACAAAGACATTAAAAGAAGAAGCTTATTAAGGTCACCCTCCCTGGTGAGGACAGCAAGCTCAGTACTACCAGGGTTTATGATTTTCTTTCTTTAATGCTACAAATTTGGATTTTGGTATGAAATCTGCTAATTTTTAAGAATTAACAATTTAGTTCAACTCTTGTCTCACAGAGCAGAAAACAAAGCAAAATTTCTTGGCACATTTGGCAGCTAAGCTGCCAGTTTACTGTCTCTCCAAATCTAATTGGGTATATTCTTCAGCTTTTGTTTACATGACCTCTCTGTTAAATTCTTGCCCATGGCACCTTCTCCTCTACTTCTCTGCTTAATTTTCCTCCTTCATTCTTTTAAGAAACTGGTGGAAGAAGGAACTGAAAAACCTGAGGTAAGAAAATTGAGGAAAAGGAAAGTAGAAGGAAAACTAGGAATGAGTAGGGTCATGAGGTATATGTCTACCTACTCATACCACAGTATTTTGAAATATAAACCCAAAAAAAAAAAAAAACCAAATTCACTCCCATCAAGTCGATCCCAACTCATAGCAACACCTCCTTGGGTTTCTGAGGTGCTATCTCTGTGGAAGTAGATTGCCCAATCTTCCTTCAGAGGAGTGGCTGGTGGGTTTGAACTGAATATAGAGGAAAATAAAAATCAAACTAGAAAGTTGCTTGTTGGGCATGGAATTAGAATAAAGCAAGGTTAAAACTTTGTTTCTAACTTAAAAAAAAGAAAAGGCTTTTTTAGAGCAATTTTAGCTTTACAGAAAAATTGTGCAGAACATGGTGTTCTTATCTACCTCCTAATCCCCGGTACATTTCTCCTATTCACATCTTGTATGTTTTTAACATTTTATTGAGAGAATTTGCAAACACACATAAAAGTAAAATAGTTAACATGAACTTTTATATACCCATCATTCAGTTTCAACAGCGGTAAATTTTCCGCCATTTTTGTTTTATGTCTGCAGTTTTTTTCTCTGAAATATTTTAAAGCAAATCCTGGACATCATATTATTTCACCTATAAATACTTCAATGTCTGTCTTTAACAGATAAGGATGTGAATATACCATTATCACAACCAACAAAACTTAAAACTAATAGAAAAAATATCTAATATTTAGTATGTATTCAATTTTTCCTCATTTTTTCTAAAAAACACATGAAAAAATGCTCATGATCATTAGCCATTGTTGTTGTTGTTGTTGTTGTGTGCCGTCGAGTCAAACCCGACTCATAGCGACCCCTCCTTGGGTTTCCGAGGCAGTATCACTACGGAAGTAGGATTGCCCAACCTTCCTTCCGAGGAGTGGCTGGTGGGTTTGAACCGCCAGCCGTCTGGTTAGCAGGCAAGTGTCATTAGCCATTAGAGAGATGCAAATCAAAACAAGGTATCATTAACCAGCATTAATAGCAAAATTAAAAAAAAAAAAAATGCGGGTGAAGGTAGGCAAAGACTAGAACCTTCATACACTACTGTAAAATGATACAGCCATTAAGGAAAATAGTATGGCATTGCTTAAACAGTTGGAAATAGAAATACCATATGATCCAGCAATCTCATACTAGGTATTTATCCTAGAAAAATAAGAGCTGTTACATAAACAGATGAGGCACACATGTTCATTGCAGCATAATTCACAATAGCAAAAGGATGGAAACAACCTAAGTACCCATCAACAGATAAATGGATAAACTATGGCACATATACACAATGGAATGCTGTGTAATGTTACAGAACAAAAATGATCCTGTAAAACATAACAATGATAAACCAAGAGAACATTATGCTGAGTGAAATTAGTCAATCACAAAATGACAAATATTGTATGAGACCACTACAGTGGGAAGTCAAGAAAAGGTTTACACAAAGAATCATTGTTTGAAGTTTACCTGGGATGGAAGGGGAAGGAAAGGTAAATACTAACTAGAGGTAGACACTAATTAACTTGGGTGAAGGAAAAGGCAGTGTACAATAAGGGAGAAGTCAGCACAGAGTGATCACTGGGAGAAGCATACCAGTTAAAGGCAACAGAGGTAAATACTGTTACATACACAATCCTGCAATAACAATCTGTAAGTGGATACATAGACAAACTGAACAGGGATGAGAAGGCGAATGGAACTACACCCACCTATACATATGGTTGACAAAGGATATTGCTACATATATATGTATATATGTATGTGTGTGTATATCTACACACACACACACACACACACATATATATATATATATATATATATATATATATATATACTGCAAATATATCCATGAATATAGTAGAGCATACAGGGGACAAGGTTATGAATACTTCTTTGCCATAGCCAAACAAATTAAGGGAATGAGTCGCTGGGCCTGGGGGGCCATAGTTTTGGGGGACATAAAGGTCAATTGGCATAACTATTCACAAAGACAATGTTCTACATCCTACTTTAATGAGTAACCACTGGGGTCTTAAGCCATCTAAGGTACGAATATTGGTCTCTGCCTGTTTGGAGCAAAGAAGAGTGAAGAAAATCAAAGACGCAAGGAAACAATTAGTCTAAAGAAATAATGGACCACGCAAACCCCATTCTCCACGACCCTGA